GAGTACAGAGAAGAGCAACAAAGATGATTAGGGGACTGGAGGCTAAAACATATAAGGAACGGTTGCTGGAATTGGGTATGTCTAGTTTAACAAAGAGAAGGACGAGGGGGGACATGATAGCAGTGTTCCAATATCTCAGGGGCTGCCACAAAGAAGAGGGAGTCAGGCTATTCTCCAAAGCGCCTGAAGGCAGGACAAGGAGCAACGGGTGGAAGCTAACCAAAGAGAGAAGCAACCTAGAACTAAGGAGAAACTTTCTGACAGTTAGAACAATTAACCAGTGGAACAACCTGCCTCCAGAAGTGGTGAATGCTCCAACACTGGAAGTTTTTAAGAAGAAACTGGACAGCCATTTGTCCGAAATGGTATAGGGTTTCCTGCCTGAGCAGGGGGTTGGACTAGATGACCTCCAAGGTCCCTTCCAACTTTATCATTATGATGATGATGATGATGATGATGATGATGATGATGATGATGATGATGATGATGATAATCATCTCTACTCAACAATCTTTGGATGTATTAGACTACATTTTTTGGGAATTCCCATTTAGCATACTTTTGGTTTGGGATAATGAGGGTCAGTCCAATACATTTGAAAGATGTTAAATTGTGGAAGGTTTCATAAAATGAATTATGTTGTTAAACACATGAAATTTGCATTTTTTTTCACAGATCAGGTCATTTTTTTATTATGCATGTGAAAAACAGATGTTGAGGTAGAAGCCCAATGATGAACTGAATAATAATAATAATAATAATAATAATAATAATAATAATAATAATAATAATCAAGGAAGAGATATATTCTATCCACTGTCCTTTTGCTCTTACCAAACTGGCTACAGAATTAGGAAAATCACTAGGTATTATTTCATTTAGAGAAGCTTTGAAATAGGATGATTTGAGAAAACAGAATATTCTTTTATGCAATGAGCAATTACTTACAGCTATTAACTGCTATGTCAATTATTGATCCAGAAGTCACCAGCAGAAGGCTTCTCTTCGTTTGTGAAGGAGAAATAAAGAGATTCTGAACAAATAAACACTGTCTCTTTGTGAAATTAAACTGCTTAACAAAATAAAGAAATGAGCTTAGGGAGTTTTTACCTCTTTAACTTCCTGAAAAACATTTATGATGCAATCAAATTCCCAAGTCCCCAGAGATGTTAATATTCTTTCTTTCTTCATGATTACTTTAAAGATGGCAAATAAACATTTGTTTGAATGATATGGGGGCACCCACAGAGAAGGCGACCCCCAGGGGGAGGGCCTTCTCTGTGGGTGCCCCCACCCTCTGGAACGAACTACCCCCCGAGATCCGGACGATTCCGGATCTCTTAACCTTCCGCCGCGCCCTCAAGACATGGCTTTTTCAACAAGCGGGCCTGACCTAGGGTGAGTTTTAAATAGGGACAATTTTTAACGATTTTAAAGAGCCACAGCTACCAATATTTGGGTTTTAATTGGTTTTTAGTAGGGGAAATTTTTTGTATGATGTTTTAATATGCTGTGAGCCGCCCTGAGTCCCATGGGGAGAAGGGCGGCATATAAATCCTAAAAATAAATAAAAAATAAAATAAATAAATAAATGAAAAGACATCCAAGATCTTTTCCAACTCCATGATTCAATGATTCTACTTTTATTTGTACAGTGATAATTACTTTAAGTTATCAGTCCCTATGACTATACTATAGTGCCTTCTAGCAATTATACTAAAATACATACTTGTTCTTGATTCACTTCTTTAAAAATGCTCTTCCAAATTAATTCTGCTCCTACCATGTTTCCCTGAAAATAAAACCTACCCCAAAAGTAAGCCCTAGCTTGAGTGTTGGGGTGAGCCTAATATAAGTCCTACCCCAAAAGTAAGCCCTACTTAAGAGCTTGCACATCGATTCTGTCTGGTTGCTACTGTACCATAAACACAAGATGAGGAGGGGGGAGCTGCCAGTGCAGCTGCCAAGAGGCGAAGCTGGTGGGGGAAGGGAGATATGACCCAAGCATCCCGCTTACCAGTACCCTGCCTCAGCCTCTCACGCTGCCCAACTGGTTCTGCAGCTGTTTTCAGCTGCTCGCAGCACGATGCTGCATTGTGCGTTGTGCCACCAATGCTGCTGCCATGAGGTTTGGCAGATCTCCCACCGATCTCACCAATGCACCCTGCTTACCGGTACCTTGCCACAGCCTCTCACGTTTTTCCGTGGATTCTGTGGCCGGTTCCGGCCACTCACGGCATGATGCGCCCGCCAATGCCTCTACCATGAGGCTTGGCAGATTCTCCCCCATCTAACCCCAACCCTAACCTTCAAGTTTGAAATCAAGTTTGACACCCCTGGTTTAATGGTGATTTAATGGAAGATTCAAAGGGAATATTTTGACCCCCAATAAGATGAGTTCAAAAAGAAAGAGCTATTCTGTCGAGTTCAAGGAAGTAACCTTGGAGGACTCTCTGGGCACGAATCTTACAGCTTTCTGCAAAGAGAACAAATTGGTCCAAAAATGATAAGTAGAGTACAATAGATAGATGAGGAAAATGCCAAGAAGCAAAAGTGTGGATCAGGTAGGCAGCCATTATTTCCTGAAGTTGAACACAACATCTGTGACTGGATTGCTGACAGGAGAGCAAGGGCTTTGGTTGTGTACAGGCTGATATTCAAACATTTGCCATTGTACTGGCACCACAGTTAAAAATATCCCCAGAAGAATTTAAAGCATCACAACACTGGCTGGATGGCTTCCTCCAGTGATATGAACTGTCTCTAAGAAGATCGACAACACTGTTCAAGTTGCAGGATGCTGAACTTATTAAACATGCACTTGTATTCAAGTCCTTTGTTGATGGCATAGACTTTTCAAAATACCAACTCTCCAACATGATTGCCATGGATGAAACTGCAGTGTTTATGGGCCAAGCATCTCAAACAAGAATTGAGGGGTGCCTCGTAAATCTACATTCCCTCCACTGGTTACAAAAGTGCACATGTTACCTGTATTTTGGCAATTTGTCTGGATGGAATGAAAGTCCCACCTCTAATCATCACTAAGGGCAAGAAAGATAAAATTGAACATGTTTCTGGCATTTATTTTCTTGAAACCGAACAGCCTGGTGCACCCAAGCTGTTATAAGGAAGTGGATTGATTAAATGCTGTAACTTGTTTTGAGAGATGGCCAGAGAGGTCTGCTAGTCTGGGATTCAGGCAGCACTCACCATGCAAATGACATGAAGAAGTTCCTTGGAGAGAGAGGAATAGATCAAATAATGATTCCTGCAGGAATGACTGTCTATTTCCATACTCTGGATATTGCAATAAACAGGCCATTCAAGGACCATTTGCATGGGGAAATCAATGACTACATTGAACACAGAATGGAGAGAAATCAGCATGGAAACTTTGTGAAGCCTAGCCTTCCAGAGATCATGACTTGGGTGAAGAATTCATGGGATAAAATCACTGACAGTTGTGTTGCCAATGCACTACAAGCAAGATACATGGACAAGAAGTGCTCATCTAAGGAGACCGCTATTGTTGGACATGAGAGATTGGGGCCAATGGTTCTACAGGAACTGGAATCACAAGAAGTATGGGCCAGAATTTGAGTTTGGGAGAGTTACCGTATGAAGATGTTACAGAAGAAGATGACATGGCTGTTTTTGAATAAATGTTGATTGTTGTACATCACCATTATGGTTGTGGTTGCCCTGGGGGGGGATGGGGGTTAGGGTGCGGGTTAGGGTTGGGTTTAGGCATTGTGGGTAGGGCTGTGGGGGAGTGGGGGTTAGGGTTGTGTTGAAGCTGGAAAGCAGGTGCCACGTGGGTCAAATTGGGGAGATCTGCCAAACATCTTGGCAGCGGCATTGGTGAGGGCAACATGGCTTGGCCAAAAGCAGCTGGCCACAGAACAAGCAGAGCAGAGTGAGGCAGATTCCCCCCTCACCTGCCCACCGTCTTCCCTTTCACTCCCCTCCCGAGCCAGACCTGGCCCTCTTCATAGTTTTGCCCACACAGCCACCAAAGCGGCAGGTGGAACACCAGAGCTGCTTTCCAGCTCCATCGCATTTCTCTGTGACTGCAGAGTGGAAAGCTTGCCCCATCATCACTCAAATGCCCTTGCTTCCCCCAAGCATTTCTTTGCTTACCAGATTTCCAGCTCCATCACATTCCTCCATCACGTTCCTCTGTTGCCATTTGCAGTTCCACAAACAAACAAAAAAGTTTGTGGGACTAAAAAAAAAAAGTTCAATAATTTCCAACTTTGCAAGATCTTTTTTTTTTTTTCATCAGAAGTTGAAATTGTTTGATTGACTTTTTTTTTTAGTCCCACAAACTTCCTTTGTTTTCTTACATGCAGCAGCAGAGGAACATGATGGAGGAATGCGACGGATCTGGAAATCAGATAAGCAAAGAAATGCTTGGGGGAAGCAAGGGCATCTGTGTGGTGGTGGGACAAGCTCTCCAGCTCTGCGGCCACAGACAAATGCAATGGAGCTGGAAAGAAGGTGCCAAGACAAACCCCTTAAGGGTGCTAGGCACTGAGATTGGCTCTTCCTGTCCAGCAGCTGCCCAGGCCCACTGTAGGGAAGGCTGGCATCTACTGGCACTTACAATATGTGGCAGCATTCTGGCTATGGTGGGAAAGGGGCACCAGCATGGGCATTGATGGCAGGATGCCTGCTCACGTCAGCATCCTTCCTCCCTTACCCTCTGGTGCTCCACCTGCCACTTTGGCCCTGGGTTGCTGCCTTCCCACTCACTTCTTAGGTGGGCCAGGCCAGGCCAGGCCAGAAAGGTGGCCCTCCAGCATTACCAGGGCAAAGACCCCCCTGCTCCACCCAGAGAAACATCACCCTGGCCACCCTACCTCGGTGTCCTTTCTGCTGCTGTGCAGCATGGCTGCCCCAGAGCTGCAGGGACTGAGCTGGCATGGGAAGGGCACAGCATCCCTGCCCGTCTGAACTCTATACTTTTATGGTAGTTGGTCTACCAACATGCTCTGAAGTTGGCCCATTGCTACCACGCTGCATATCCACTCAATGTGCAGGCCATGCCACACCCTGCCCCCACGCGCTTGCCATCTGCTGGTAATGTAAGACCTACCAAAAAATAAGTCCTAATGCTTAATTCATAGCCCCCCCCCCAAATAAGGCCGGGTCTTATTTTGGGGGAAACACAGTACATTATCTGGAAATTGAATGGTGTATTAAATGTAGTTAGCTGGCATTCAGCAAGCTAAGCATAATTTTCAAAAACAATCTCCCCCTATGCCTGAAAAGGAAAGTTTTCAAGTATTATGTGCTACTGCTCTAACATATGCTGGTAAAACATGGCCACTAGCCTCACAATTAATACAAAAGCTATGAGTGGCAAAAACAGTCATAGAAAGATACATGCTTGGCATTACAAGACAAGATAGAAAGACCTGCACATGGATTAGAAAATATGAAGGAATACAACATATCGCATGGCATTCATTATTTTGAGGCAACACAATACATAGTTTGGGCATCATGGATTTATGGAATAAAGATTTGGAATATCACATAAACATCAATAGAGCAAAAGTTTTTTTTAAAAAAAAATGTTGTTTCTTTCATAATGATCAGTCCATCAAACAATTTTATTTATTTATTTTATTGGACTCCTGAAAGACATAAAGGATGAAGTATGAACTTTCTCATCAGTGATGAGAAATTCATATCATTTTATTATGACTGGTTGTGGTTTATTTTTGGAAGCATATTGCAAATAAATATGCAGATGTGTGAGTAAAAGTTTTCAAATTAAAGGTATCAAATTTATTTTTAAATATTTCACTTACATTATAAAAATATATAGTTTTCAAAAGATTTTACAACAAAAGATTTTAATGCACAATTCAATATATTGTTATTATATGATTGATTGCATCATTGATTGTGATGTACTGCTATGTCCACTTGTGATGGTTCTGTTTAGTTTTGTTTTATTTGAATGTTTGATTTATGTATGGCCTTTGGCTGTAATAAATTGATTGATTGATATGATCAAATGAATATGCAATATATTTAGGTGATTTATATTAAACTACTACACTGATTTTTAGGACTTTTTTCTGAATTTTATTTTTTTTTGTTTTAAAATTTCATATATTATTGTTAGCTATTACTATTTTTCTTTAAATTTCTTGTTGTATATTGATTTTTCTGAATTCTGTTTTAAAGTTCCAATGATAGCTTAAAACATTATTATATGGGATATGATCATGGATATACAGTAAATATTTATTTCTTTTCATTTTTAAAAAAACATGATAAGCCAATCTGAGCTTTTTTATATTTTTCTCTTAAAAATTAATGAAACGTAGGCATTCAAAATTAGATGGTGAAAAATTTTGAAAATTCTAAAGACTGGAAAAAAGAGCTTCTAGTATCTATGGATAATGCAAACCATGAGTTGTTATTAGCTATCTTATATCAACTTTGAACCACAGCTATTCATTTAGAGGAGCTTCTCTCAAGTCAGACCTATTTAGTCTGCGGATCAATTATATGTAGCCAATATTATGGTTGTGCAAATTATGTCAGCTGTGGTATGAAGCTATACAAAATTATTTTTAGGTAAGGAGCTGAGTGCCATTTATTATCTTATCTCCCTATTATGACTTTATTCCCATTATTAATAAGACTGCTGTCCTTACTAATTGGTTTTGGAAAGTAACTATAGTGATAAGAAAGGCCGACAGTAGAAAAGAACCATATAATCATTTGGTGTCTCAGAAATTTGTAAATCTCTGTAACATCTTTTGAAGTTGGGTTGAAACTCTTTTATTCTTGACCATTAGCAAGATTAGTTTAAATTAATGAATGTTGGACCAAGAACTTCTGTAGAGTTTAATTCTTCATATTGATTTAGGTGAAATATTTCATAGTTTTCAGATTGTTTCAGATTCTGTTTTGTTTGGTTTTTATTCCCTGTTTAAGAATAAAAATTATTTCAGAAGTAAGGTAGAATTCTCATTTGATATTTCAAGATCAGGCATCATGATTTTTAAATGACAAATGAACCATCTGAGCTCAGAAAGTTTTTATATTTTATATATTTTATTTTTATATCCATGTAAGCCGCCTTGAGTTGCCATGTGCAAATAGGTGGCAATAAATAAATAAATAAATAAATAAATAAATAAATAAATAAATAAATAAATAAATAAATAAATAAAGCCACCGGCAGTCAAATTTAACTTAAAGTCACCCACAGTCAAGTTCACTTGGAGGAGAATTTGAATTTATACCTTAAGGACATAGTGGTGATCATTGTGGAAAGACAATTAAAAGTATCCTAACATAAGCTCATAATTGCTTTGACCTACAAGATGTGTGGCAAATAAATCTCATAATAATAAGTAGTAGACATACAACTTTTCTTGTTTGAACATTGCTTTGTTTCTTTTGTTTGATTTTTAATATCTCCCATTGCAAGAATTTCAGTAGATTAAAAATAGTTTGAGATGCTTGGCATAACTCCCAGAATTTCTTACAAACTGACACTTTAGTACCCAATTAATTTAATGAAAGAAATTTTCCTTTAACTCATATAGAGGAAGTGATTTTATATGCTTTAAGTTATTAGAAGGTGAAGGATTTTTCAACATCAAACATTTAAAACATTTAGAGATAGTTTGTTACTGGGTTACTTCAATGTTGAAACAATTAACACTGAATTAACTACAAATGGTTGAAAATAAGCATGGACCTATTTTGAGCAAAGATTATTTTATTATTGCCACAGATGTATAATAGTTGAAGTTATTGTTATCAGTATCTTTATTCAACAATTATCAGTTGAGAATGAGATATCAGGTCCCAGATTTTTTTTCCTCTCTCTATCTGGATGTCAAAGATAACCAAATTTTGCTATGCTTTTTGTGATTAACGCAGAAAGTAAATTATAGACTTTTATTTTGAAGCAATTTCAAACGTATGCATAATCATTGAATGTTTAAGTATGCTCATATACTGCATGAAAGGAAAACTAAGAAAGATTTTAGGACCATTTAAAAGAGACATTTGGACTTAGAAGATACAAAACATACATCTTTGGGATGGAACATGAATGGAACACCACCGAGATCCAACCTAACAATCTAAGCAATTCAGAGGTAAATCTTTACATATTTGTCATGCTCTGTATGATGTATTTGCAGTAGAATATATTTTATTTATATAATTTGAGTTTTATGAGGAGATAAATGTTAAATTGATAGGTGGTAGCCAGATATATGATAGTTGGATAAAATATTGCTATTATTTTTCTAATAACTGAATAGCATATTCTTTGTAAATCTGAGTACTCTGAACAGTTTTACTTAATTCAATAAATTTATCACTTACTTTAATGAACTTTTATAAAAATAGATTTTCTAGGTATTGTAGAGATAAAGTAAAAACACGCAAAATGAAAATTAGAACACAACATTAACATCAGTGTGCTAACAGCAGAGAAGCAAAATCAACTATCACACAGTACAAGTTAATAGAATATTTATTTTTCCTTCTGCAGGCAAACAAACCAATGCATTAAAAGATTTATTCTTAATTTGCATGTGAATTCTGAGAAGATATTTCATGAATTCCAAATGTTGCTCCCAGACTATTTTTGAGAATTCTAAATTATGCCAGTGAGAAATATTTAATCTTTGTATGAATTTTTCTCAAGTCCATCTCTTTTGGAAGCTCTTGAAATTACAAAGGTGGGGATGTTTGTTTTGCATTGGTTTGTTTTTTTAATGATACTACTATATTAAAGATAGCTTATAGCATTTTTGAAATCTGTAAAGGATTTCAAGGAGACTTCTCAAATTCTAAATCTGTAAGTCAAATTTTGATATTTCTTTGTAAGTGAAGAGCTAATCTAAATAAATAAGTTCATTCATTTCTCTTTTAAGAAAAAAAATAGAAAGAATAAATCTCTCCTCCTCCAAATTTTGGAGGACTTGGAATGGTTAAAATAGCATTTTGTGTACTAATCACAAATTAACATGCCTTTATTACTTAGTATTTGGCACCTATATAAAGGAAATTGCATTACTGTTATTCAGGTGCAAAAAGTTAGAGAGCTGGTGAGATGAGTGAATAATGCAGTACCCTTCTATGTATCATATGAAACTGTCAGAAGCAGAGCTACTATTCTAGGCTAGAGGAACATCAAAAAGAGAAGATACTTTCCCTCTAGATCCCAGTTTTGATGAGAATCCTTTCCTTTCTGTTTAAAATAAAAATTGCATACCTAGACATCTTGTGGACAATGCTTCTTCCAGCTTTGCCTTCAAGTGAAAAATGTAGAGCCTGATATAGGATCAGAATCTGAGGATAAAATATATTTTATACAGTGAAATACTCTGTTGTTGCAAAATATATTTGTTTTTGTTGAGAAGGAGAAACCATGACAGAAGGATATGCATTTCAAATTCTATAGGTAAAATTCATATATGCGTCTGCTCCTTATCTTAAAATATTCAGGGCAAAAGAAAACATGTTCTTAAATGAAGCAAATTTAATTTATAGAATTGACTGATGCATAATAATAGCCATTAGGAAGAAGGTTTTGAAAGAAGATCAGACACATCAATTTCCTGAAAATCCAAAGGATATCTGTCATAATAAACTTCACTAGTTTATAAACGCAAATAGATAGATTTGGATTTTTTGTTTGATTTATTTAGGACTTGTGAATAGCTGTGAAGACAATGATATTAGATAGACTGGGATTATTTTCAGGATTTATGGAACCTAGGAAATAAAACACAGAACAAGCAAGATTTAAAATGTCAATATAGGCTTTTTTTTTTTTTTTAAAGAAAGGAATAGGAAAAGGTGTTTTTCAGTGAAGATCAATAATGAAAGGATACCTAACTATGTTTTGGCTATCTCTTTCTCTCCCTATATAACTCTTATTTTCACCCTCTAAGATTCTAAAAATTAGATCTATATCAACAATTTCAAATATGCAATTGTGATGATACAGTGTCAAATTTGTACAAAGGATTGTCTCTTTTGAAATTTGTATTTGTGTGCTAGAGGATAGAAGTAGAAAAGGAAGGCGTTTGCTTTCATAGATTATGCAGTTGATAAAAAGAGGCAGAATAAAGAAACAGCAAGTTCATTTTTTTACAATTTTTGAAACTATTGATTATATAAGTTAATGTTTTAAAATAAGAGGAATGAACAAGTTTTAGCTATCTAGTTTTGTGACACATTAAATAACAGCCACATAAATATCTGACTCTACAAATATTTAACCTATGAAAAAACCTTGTGCAATAATGCTTCAGGTGATTCTTGTGTTTTTCCTCTGAGAACAGCAATCTAATGTCTAGAACAGAGGTGTCAAACTGCCGGCCAGTGTGCCAGACGCATCACCGGGAAACCGCACCCACCCCATTGCTGGCAATGGTGAAAAAGCTCCGATACGTTGCGCAATGTCACGTGATGTCGTGAGTTTGACATGTCTGGTCTAGAACTACACTGATCCTTCTTTACTAAAAAACTTATCTAATGAAAAAAAAATTGTCCTTTCCCAATTTCCTTTTCCAGACAAAACCAATAGCTAAGAATTAAACAAAAGTTGTAAAAGGGACTGTAATTAAGTTGTGACCTGAACAAATTCATTAGAAGTTAACAGCTGGAGTTTTCTTATAGACACAAATTAAGTGAAATAAATTTTAATTTATTTGATATGAGAACTTTGAATAGGAAGTCCTCCACTTATGACCACAATGGAGCCCCAAATTTCCATTGCTAAGCAAGATAAGGTGAATTTTGCTCCATTTCATGACCTTTTTTCTACAGTTGTTAAAACAAATCAGTTGTTAAGTGAATCCTGTTAAGTGAAGCTGGTTTCCTCCATTGACTTTGCTTGTTGGAAGCCAGCTGGGAAGGTTACATATGGTGATCATATGAACCCAGCACAGTGCAACTGCCATAAATATATGCCATTTGTGAAGTGCTGAAATTTTGATAATACGACTATGGGGATGCTGCAACGATCATGTGAAAAAGAGTCGCAAGTCACTTTTTCAGTGCTATCACAACTTTGAATGGTCACTAAACAAATTGTTGTAAGTCAAAGACAACAAAATTTATGATATAGACATATGCATAGTGCATCCACTAGGAAAAACTCTCTCTTTTAGTTCTTGCTCTCCTTTAGAGCATTATTTTAGTTTGGCTTCCTTTAATTATTTGATTTATTTGTGTATTTTTTAAATTTATCTATTACTTATCCCAGCTTTTTCCTCCTCTGTCCCACTTAGGTTCTCCTTTTCATCCTGCCCAATTTCTTTAGAACTGCCCTTTCCATTTAGTATAAAGCTGATTGTGACAAAGGAATTGAACTTTCCTAGTTTGAAGCTGAATTTACAGTTTACTTTTAAAGGTAACTTAGTCTTCAAAGAGTAGTTCTAGTCTTTGGCAAAGAAGGGAGGCATAGTAATCTCATGACTGTCTTTTCTATTAAGATCTAACTCTGAGCCAGGTTGCCGTCCTCAAATTCAAAATTTTCAAGAAAACAGATGAGAAATTCTGCTGATTTTTTTTTTCAGAAACAAATGCTCTCAATGACTGAACAAAAGTTTCCTGCAAAACAAAAAAAAATGTATTTGCAGAACTCATGGTGAAAAAATCCAAATGATGTGACTTAGGATGAATACATGATCTAGCCAACTCACAAGCTTGGAGAACGAAACTTCACCCTCAATACCTATCTTCCTGACTTGCCAAATTGCTGCTTAAATTATTTGTCTCATTCTGGTTGTCAGAGTTCTAAAAAAAGTTCCCAATATTTCTTTGTAAGAAGAGTATCTATTAAAAAAATATAAAACCTTGTAGGCTGTTCAGATATGTAACTCTGCATTATTTAATGGAAACATTTGATAATAATAAACTAAATATCCAAAATAATTACAAAGAAAATGTTAGACTCTGATCTTAAGAAAAGAAAAGGAAAGACAGAACTTTGGCCAGCAAGATTAATAACATTTTTCATTTTTATTTCAGAATTTCTCTACTTTCCACCAAAAAGGAGGAAATCAATCAATTACTACAGAATTTATCCTTCTGGGGTTTGGCAATATCCTTGAACTGCGAATAATCCTCTTCATATTATTTCTTCCGGTTTATACTTTGTCCATTGCTGGAAATCTCCTAATTGTTTCACTGGTTGTGATTGATCAGCATCTTCATACCCCTATGTATTTCTTTCTTGTTAATTTGTCTTGTTTGGAGACATGTTACATTTCAACCATTCTGCCCAGGATGCTAGCTAGTTTTATAACTGGAGATCAGTCTATTTCTGTCTATGGATGCATCATACAATACTATTTCTTTGGATTTTTTGCAGCCACTGAATGCTACCTTTTAGCAATGATGTCTTATGATCGATATTTAGCAATATGCAAACCACTGCATTACAACATTCTCATGAATGGTAGACTCTGCCTCCATTTGGCCCTCACATCTTGGATGAGTGGCCTTTTGACCAACACTATCATAACCTACTTTCTGCTGAAACTTACCTTCTGTGGGCTCAATGAAGTTGATCATTTCTTTTGCGATATATATCCAGTAGCAAACATTTCATGCAGCAATACACGCTTAGTAAAGCTTGCTACATTTATTTTAGGCATTATGGGAACAGGGCCACCCTTTCTCATAACAGTGGCCTCATATATCTGTATTCTTCATAATGTATTGCAAATTAATTCTAAAACTGCCCAACAGAAAGCCTTTTCCACATGTTCATCTCATCTGATTGTAGTGACACTTTTCTATGGGTCAATATTCCTTGTCTATATAGTTCCAGAGACTGAAACACTAAAAGAGTTACACAAAATCTTTTCTATATTCTATACTGTCCTGACTCCTATGCTCAACCCTCTTATCTACAGCTTAAGAAACAGAGAGGTGAAGGAAGCTCTCTTCAAAGTAATTAGAAAACATAGCAACAAAATTTCATAATCTCATAGAGCTATAAAAAAAAGTTTTGGTTAGATCAGGATATCCAGAAATGATTTTTTTTCCTGCTTTCTAAATAAAATGACCTGATGAGCAGATTACTTCTTAGCATGTTTATATGTATGTATGTGCAAATTTATATTTAAATAATGGGGAAAGAATTAAGAAGTGCTCAAGTATTTTTACTGCTTTTAAATTTTCATTTTGTTGGAGACATGTAACAATGTAAGTCTGCAAAGTGGTATGATCCAGAAATCAATTTTTCATTCTTTATCTGCAAGAAATGGTCAGTTTGCCACCCTCCAAAAGACACTCACATGTTAGTGTTCTTTTTTATGGAGTCCAGAAGTTCAAGGACAGCCTAAATGAGTGGTCGCCAAAGTATATAATAATAATAATAATAATAATAATAATAATAATAATAATAATAATAATAATAATAATAATAATAATAATAATAATAATAATAATAATAATAATAATAATAATAATAAAGTTGGAAGGGACCTTGAAGGTCATCTAGTCCAACCCCCTGCTCAGGCAGGAAACCCTATACCATTTCGGACAAATGGCTGTCCAGTCNTTATATGTTTTAGCCTCCAGTCCCCTAATCATCTTTGTTGCTCTTCTCTGCACTCTTTCTAAAGTCTCAACATCTTTTTTACATCGCGGTGACCAAAACTGGATGCAGTATTCCAAGTGTGGCCTTACCAAGGCATTGTAAAGTGGTATTAACACTTCACGTGATCTTGATTCTATCCCTCTGTTAATGCAGCCTAGCAATGTGTTGGCCTTATTGGCAGCTGCAGCACACTGCTGGCTCATATTTAGGTGATTGTCCACTAGGACTCCGAGGTCCCTCTCACAGTTACTACTATTGAGCAAGGTGCCACCTATGCTGTACTTGTGCAATTGATTTTTCTTGCCTAAATGTAGAACCTTGCTTTTTTCACCATTGAATTTCATTTTGTTAGATAGTGCCCAGTGTTCAAGTCTGTCCAGATCCTTCTGTATCTTAAGCCTGTCTTCTGGAGTGTTTGCTATTCCTGCCAGCTTGGTGTCGTCTCCAAATTTGATGAGTTCCCCATCTATCCCCTCATCCAAATCATTGATAAAGATGTTGAAGAGCACTGGGCCCAGAACAGAGCCTTGGGGCACCCCACTACACACTTCCCTCCATGTAGATGTGGTTCCATTGAGGACCACTCGCTGAGTACGGCCGGTCAGCCAGCTACGGATCCATCTGTGTGATACAAAATAAAGCAATATCTTCCTCTTTTTCTCTTCAGTCTCCCACTGCATTTCCTTTTTTATTTTTTTTGCTGAATTTTATCTACTCTGTGTTTCCCAACATCCACATACATAAAATTTTATATAGTGGACTTTCACAACTTTCTGTCTTCAAGATGATTTTGTATTACTACTACTCCTCATATCTCTGTTCATTGGTTGGTAGTTATGGAAGTCATAGTTCAGCACATCCAAACACACGAGTTGGAGAAAGTATCTTAGGACTAGCTCTTCAAAAGCCTCCAGATTCAGGTTTAATAAAATTCAATATTCCTTATTTGCATATCAGATTATTCATGATTGCGAATCCTTTGAAATGCAATGCTACTCTTTAAATACACATCACTGGAGATTTTAAAGAAGATATTGAACAGCTATTTGTCCAGAATGCTATAGTGTCTCATGCCTGAGCAGGGGGTTGGATTAGAAGATCTCCAAGGTCCATTTCAATTCTGTTATTCTGTAAATACATTTTTTCAGAGGTGTATTATCTATATATTACTAAACCTCTTGGCATGTAAATAGAGCAACAATTTTTGAACCAAAGTGTCAACGCTGCTAATATTGAATATTCTTGCTTTGACAAAATATGCAGAACTGTTTGGTACTTTTAGAGTTAATTCAGATGAGAATGAGAGAGGAGAGAAAAGCACGTGGAAGGGAATGGAAGTGAATCTTTGCCCTCCAGGTTAATTGGAGGATGTGAATCATGACCCCAAAATAGGGGAGGGGAAATGCCTGGAATGTTATGTGCAAAGGAAGGGAAAGTCAGATCTTGGCATTCTCCATGCCGTGCTGAAACTCCTTTTACACTAATAAAGGCTTTTTAGGTTAAACCATGCCTGAAAGTTCTTTGAAGTGTTTCATTAGTCAGACACATGACACAAAGTATCTCAAGCTGGCTAACTAAATGTATTCAAACTCTAGGACCCATGATTCCCAAAAGAATGAAATTTGGGGAAGTTGCACCTGCTTCAGCACTATTGGTTGCTACTGCACTTTGGACTGCTGCACTCATATGATCTCCATTTTCAATGTTTTGTGACAGTTTCCCAGTCAGTCTCACAATCCCTCAGTCCCTGCCCTACTTACAACAGCTACTTATCTGCTTGCAAGAAGGGGAAGGAGAAGGGAAAGGGGAATCAGAAAGGGAAGGAAGGAAGGGGGATTTCTGGTACTCCCTGCCCAATTCCCTCAATATGGAAGCTGGCAGGAAATTGGAATATGCTCCTGCTCCCACTGTTTTTTGCCCACCACTTCTCTGTTTAGATAATGAAATATCTCTAAAATGATGTCCCAGTGGGGGATAATTTAGTTTCTTTTCCTTATTTTCTTATTTAAGATATTCCTTATCTTATGGTCTTTGTTCATTTATCTTTTGTTATTTTAAGTATTTTTGCTACTCATATCTCAGTCTCCAGAATTCTTTTAATGGTCTCAAATTCATCTTTTCTATTTCATGCCCAATAAACAAATCTTTTGTGGGCTTGTGGGAAACTTGAAGATTCCTGCATATCTCCCCCCTCTCTCTCCTTCTCCACCTCCACCTCCACCTCTACCTCTACCTCTACCTCTACTCTACCTCTTTCTCATTATGTTGCTGTGTAAACCATGGTATTTTTGCTATGTAACAGTCATTTTTTTGGACACAGAATGCTTATAAGCAGTACATTAATTAGTTCAAATCTGACTGAGCCCATATCAGTACCTTTACTTATTCCATTTTTAATTTGGAAAATTGATAATTGATTCACATTCAATTAAGTTAAAGATAGCTATGAAATGCCACAAGAAGTAGAAGGTACTAAACTTTTTGGCATGGTTTAACATCATGTACTTTTGAAATAATAGAAAATATGTGTAGATCAGGTTTTAGATTTTGACTGTGGTTTGTTCTCCCAATTTGTTTCAGTTTTGTTACTGAACTAACAAAGTTAGTTTTGTTACCAAACTAACAAAGTTTGGTAATAAAATGTTCAGAAATTATATTGAAACAAGCTTGGAGAACAAACCACAGCCCAAATCATGTACTTTTCCCCAATAAATTGAGCATTTAATTGGTGGTTGGATATACATCTTACTCATTTATATTTAATTTAATAAGGATATAGAATAACACTTATATGAAAAGTCTCAGAAAGTTTGATTTCTTCTGTAAAGTTTTGCCAAAATTTTCTTAGTGTTCAACAATCAAGAATGTGTTAGAGTTGGATTTAGTGCTAGATTTAGCTGAATTGTGATTTTCAGCTCATGTCTCTATATTGCAATAATTGTGAACCTGAAGGCACTATCTCAAGCTCTACATGGAAAATATGAAAATAAGACAAACTTTTTTCTGGGAATTGACATCTTTACTCTGGCATAGGTTTTTGAAGGTTCACATACCGTATTTATCGGCGTATAACACGCACAGGCGTATAACACGCACCTTCATTTTAAGAGGGAAATTTCAAGAAAAAAAAAGCGCCGGCTCGAGAGCGAAAGCAAAAGGGGAGGGGGAGTGGGGCTTCGTTCACACGCGGATCCCCATGCTCGTATTTATTTACCGTATTATGCCCCGGCT